CAGAAACAATAAAAAACCATTGACTGATTCAGCCACAGAACATCTATCACTGGGTGAAAGATTACAAGATATTCATATTGTCTCAAACTTGTAACTTCACAAATTTATTTAATAATTGCAAACAGAAAAAGGTGCCTTTAAAATGGAGAAATTGAGACAACATCCAAACCAAATGATTAGAACTCAACACCAATAAACATGGATATGACACAATGTAGCATTATTCTTATTATACTGCACAATCACAATTTTTCTATAGGTTTGAAACATTCTCCAAACAGGTGGAGGGAAGCACAAACAAAGCAAGCCAAAAGACTATTACAAATCCGGGAAGAATTAAAGCAGTTGTCCTGGGATCCATTCACTTTATCAGAAAGAAACTCTAAGAAAAGTAGGTGAAGGAGTTTGATGTACTTGTTAATAATATACTGTTAACTGGTCCTCCTGGTAAACAGATTAGTGATGTTTGTTAAGAGGAAAATCTTTTTTTTTTTTTAATTTTTTTTTCAATGTTTATTTATTTTTGGGACAGAGAGAGAGACAGAGCTTGAATGGGGGAGGGGCAGAGAGAGAGGGAGACACAGAATCGGAAACAGGCTCCAGGCTCTGAGCCATCAGCCCAGAGCCCGACGCGGGGCTCGAACTCACGGACCGCGAGATCGTGACCTGGCTGAAGTCGGGCGCTTAACCGACTGCGCCACCCAGGCGCCCCAAGAGGAAAATCTTTACATGAGGAATGCTCTTAGTAGGATGTCCTTTGTTAAGGATGTTTACAGTAAACAAACTCAAAAATCTACAGACTTATGAGGCATGGCCCACTGGAGAAAATCACTTAAACTATACAACCCTGGGGAATAGAAGGGACAAGTTTCAAAATCTATATGCTCTCTGCTATGAGGTAATAACTACACCTCCTCATTTAAAGACCTCATCTATTCTGGGCCAGAAAGTGCCTGCCTGACGTAGAAAGGACGGACATGGGGAATTGCCCAGAGTTCCAGATATCTCTCCTTGTTCCAGATATGTGCCTTCTAACTGCATATCCTTGCAACTATTAGTAAAGGTGGATGGTTGGTAAGATCTTTAATATGTGTCTGATTGATTCTTTGTACTGGCTTATAAGCAAAAGATGAAACCATCAAAAATAATTATGATCTAAGATGAATTTAAATAAAAACTAAAACGTTAGAATAAGTGAACTGTTCTATTGATTTGATAAAAACAGTTAACACAGTATACTTACAGGAAACATAAGGCATCTTTTATCCTATGGCAAAATTTCTTTTTAAGCATTCACAGAAGAAAACTTTAACTAAAACCTAAGTATATGAGATTTCTCCACCAATTTTTAAAAAGCAAATATAACCAGAAATATCACAAAATTTTAACACATGAAAATATATGATGATAAGCCTGCAATTGAGTGGGTGTATGTAGCCCAGAACTCTTCTCAACATGTCTTTTGAAATACGAATATGCCTAATTTACAGAGTTGTGGTGAAATTCAAATGATAGGACATAAATATTATCATAATCTACACCATTTTTCCTATCTGTGGTCCACAATGACAACCACTTAGAAACAGGCTATAAAGGAGCATGAGACAAGGCGATCCTAACAGCTGATGCCAGCTCAAAGGCTGCTTTGAGTAAGAGCCCTGAACGTGTAAAAAATAGGGGATGAAACAAAATTAGGAAGTTTTAAAACAGAGAAGTAAGGGCAGCAGGCCGGATAAGGTCTCCTAGAACGTGCAAGTTCTCAGTGTCCAGGAATACTTGGCACAGGGAAGAGTAACAGCCTCAGCAAGGAACAAGTAAGAAAAGACACGTAGGGGCGCCTAGGTGGCGCAGTCGGTTAAGCGTCCGACTTCAGCCAGGTCACGATCTCGTGGTCCGTGAGTTTGAGCCCCGCGTCAGGCTCTGGGCTGATGGCTCGGAGCCTGGAGCCTGTTTCCGATTCTGTGTCTCCCTCTCTCTCTGCCCCTCCCCCGTTCATGCTCTGTCTCTCTCTGTCCCAAAAATAAATAAAAAACGTTGAAAAAAAAAAAAGAAAAGACACGCAGACACAGGTAACCGAACATATTTAGCTGGGAGGAATCAAGGAAAGGAAAAACATGTTGCACGTCTTTGGGCCTTAATCCTCTAGAGGACAGCTACCATGTTTATTATATTATCTCATCTGGGAGAGCAGAATCTAGATGTATTTCAGGAAATTCTTATCTTACTGAGGCAGCACCATCAAGTAGCTACCTCCATTCACTTCAAAATAGTTATGAAGCCCATCCCCTAATAGCTGTGTGACCTTGGTCAACCTGCTTAATTTCTCTAAGCCTCAGTTTTGTATTCTGTAAGACTGAGACAATAATCATGTCAACTTCATTAAATCATGAATATAAAATACACAATACAGTACCTGGCACATACTAAATGCTCAGTAAAAGCCAGTCATTACCTTTATTACTTAAGAAGGAATTCCTTGAGCATTTTAGTTGGCTGCATGTTATGTCTTAATTTTACTATCTCCTTCTCTGGCTAGCTAACAAGAATCTGTAAAAGTTAATAAGCTACTTTAACTTCCAAAGAAAAAGGAACTGTTTCAGAAGACAGTACTTACATCAAAGTTTTAAAAGTATGAATACTATTAGCAAAGACAGCAAAGACCTAGTATTCATACATTACAGTCTATAAAATTAGAACCTATGATTTTAAAGTAACATAAAGATCAGGCCTTTTTTTTTTTTTTCTTGGCCAGAAAACGCAAACTCCCATTTCTAAAAATATCTCAGGTTTTCTTCTTGAGGAAGTCAGCTTGCAACAAAATACCCTATTATCATAGAAGGCAAGTATAGGACGATATGTCATGAACAAGTCTATAAAAATGTAGTGGTATAGGAGCTAAAGAAAAAAATTCATCTGGGAAAACAATTATGTAGAGGTTTTTCTCCAAATTTAATTGAGACTGTAAGTTTTCTGTTTTGTAACTATTTCTTTGATACTCCCATGTAGATGATGAACATTTCCTTAAGAAATCACAGATGACCTTTCAATTTTCAAAAGTCCTCTACGATTTGCTTCTTTTAGAAAAGTACACTGATCGTGTAAAAGAATCCGGAGCAAGAAATAAAATTTCAAACGTAAGGAAAGCATACGGTCTTTCTAGTACACTTTTTAGTCTGTTTTTTAAATTTAAATGTAATCCAGTTTTTAAGCAGCATTATGAAAGAAGTTGATGTCAGAGTAACCAATCTAGACCACTAGAACCAAGAATTCAAAGAATATATACACTGTTAATTTTACAAATACAAAGAACATACAGGTGATAACTTTTAGCTTTCTATGAGGCAACAATTCCATAGTGGTCTTATATAATCTAGGAAAACAAACAAACACACAAGGTCATGACACAGCAATTCTGTAAACCTATAAACTTTAATTATCACTGGGCCTGATTTCCTATTGCTGATGAGGTTTAAGAATAACAGAAAACAACTTTCACATGCAGACCAAATAGGCCTTTTCTTTTTAATTAACTAAACTAAATTTATCATTGAGACCTACAGAAGGGAAAATTAATGAATATATTTTAATCTCAAACTTCATACACCACATATAGGCTTATTGTATACAAAACATCCTTTCCAGGGTAAAATAAAATCAGCAGTTATACAGTAGTTCAAAGCATCTCAATAATCTAGGACTGCAAAAATGACTATTTGGAAGAAATTACAGGGAAAAATTTAGGTAAGGAATGTAATTTAGTAAGGACCTTGGTTAAGAGAAAGTGAAAGAGAAAAAGGGATAAATCATAATTTCCTATCTCAGTGTTATAATCAAAACAAAAATCTCCAAAGATTTTATTTCTCATAGGAATTTCACAGAAAAAAAAAAAAAAAAGGTCTATGGAAAGGCCTACGTGATGTGTAATCCATAGTCAGACAAACAATAATTAGGAGTCACATACAGAATATTTTGACTGAACGTCTTGATAAAACGGGGATTAAAACTACGAGAAAGGAAAGATGTATCAAATGAATTCCATGATTTTTGTAGACCTGTGAACATAAATAAAATTACCCCATAAAAAACATAATTCATACTAAAGGAGAATCATGTCCTACCTTTATTTCTAGTCAGATTAACTGTGATAACTTTGTTATAAAACACTTTACAATCCCTTCAAAAGGAAAAAATGGTGAGAAGCTTTGATGACCTAACTCAATTAGAATACTGTTAGAGAAATCTCTTGCTCTTTTATCTATCTCAAAACTTGGAAGATATACCAAAATGTAATAGTCAAACATACATGCAAAATGACCCTACAATTAAGATAATTGCTGGTACCAAATGTTGTTTTTAAGTTCTGCAATAAAACAGTCTCCCAGACATTTAATAGTATGTCATTTGGTAAATGAAAGTTTCCACAAAGTAAGAGCAGTGAGAAGACCTAAAAATTATGCTAGTGAAGAGTCTGGCTGAAAGAAACAAAAATACGGATCATTTTGGTCCAACACTAATTTTATTTCAAGTTACTACAGAGCTGAATAAAATGCTGACACCACCACACAAAAATTTATTGAATTGGCAATAGGCAAAGCATGATGTCAGCCACCAACATCACCATCCGCATTACCGAACAGCATAAACGCTTTAATTCTAGAACTTAACGTGGACTTGATGTGTGTAGTTTGGGTAAAAATAAAAATCTTAGGCATGAGGCATTATTAAACATAGATGAGTTTAGTTTGGCAGAGTTTCGATGCAAATTATTCTAATGCTTTAACAACTTCAGTAAAAAACATGGAAAAATGTAAGCTTAAACATACAATTTTCTAAATGTGCTACATTCTTCAGCAAACAGACCCATAAAAATAAGTCTCAAACAGCAATAACATTCAAATAACAACACACACACACACACACACACACACACACACACACACGGCAGGCTGAGAGGAGACATGGAAACACACATGTATATTCACACTCACACAAGGCCTGACCTTCATTGCATGAATTTCTTCAAGCAATCGTTGTGCCCGTCTCTGGTTTTTTAACAGTGCATCTTCAGTACCCCTGTAAAAATTACATGAAAATGTACAGCCAGGAAAAGCATTTATTTTAGACTCACATCATAATAAGTCTTCATTTTTTCTAGAAGAGCACAAAAAGTCTTTAAATAACAAGCACTATTATCCTGCATTGTCCTGCACATTCACTGCCTAACACATACCCCGATTCCATCAACAAACCCAAGTTTTTGGCAAATTATAAGCATTATCTGGCATTATATTAATGACTATTACTACTGAGAGACAGTATGCCTTTTAACTCCTTAAAGGAAAGGCGAAATAATATTTTTTAATCAAATGATTAACAGCACACTGCATTTAACGTAACATAGGCTAATGAGCTACCATTAAAGTTTGGATACAATTTTATTCAGCAAAATTTTATTCTCTGCAATTAAAGGAATACAGAAAGAGAAATACCTGATTATATCAGAGAAAAAGGTTATTTATGATAGAAAGAACAAGAAATTAAGCAGGAGCAAAATATCTGAAGACTATTCATGCTTAATGAGTAAAAACTGCAAGTAACACATTTACTTTAATATCAGTGACAATGAGGTTTCAAAATATTAAAAAATTGATGGAAAACAATGCTTTGATAGACTTCCACAAGGTTCTAAAGATTTCAACTTACGTAGCAATTCAATGGATAAAGTGCTATAAAATTTTTATTACTGATTCAAGGTATTACCAGATTTATTAAACGACATCAAACATCTTAAAATAACTTCTAATAACATAAAACACATAAGTAACTCTGAAGGACTTTCACTCTGCAAAGGCTTCCAAAATGAGAGCTCTGCAAGAACAGCAGAATTCATCATGTATCTTAAACAAACGTGGCCCAGACCACGTGAGGATGTGCTGACATAGCACACTGTATCCCACTCAGACCCCCTCTCCGTATAAAAAAAAGTGCTGCATGAGTAAGATACTTAATTATTCCTCCAGGTCCCACCCTCAGATTTTGTAAATACTGAATAAAAACAACTTCTGACATTTCATTAGTCATAGGACCATGACTTCAAATGACTAACTTTTTTGACTTGAGTCTGCCAACGCTTCTGACAAGTTTTCGGATAACCAGCACTCGGATTCTCTTCACGTCTTTTCTCATCTTCACAACCTTTGAGGAATGAAACCAAAATTAGAAAGGTATTCTCTTCATTCAAGGAGAAACACACTTTACTTTGAATCTTAATATTTGAGATTACGTCTAGTCACTCTAACTGAATTTTTAACCACAGTTACAGTTAGATGAAATCCAACTTGTTCCATCAACACTGAAGCAATAAATCAACATTCTAAAAATGTGTCTGAGGACTTAAGAGAAATCAGTTACAATTTTTTAAAAAGTCACAGCATTCTCGGTGATTAGTATTTTAATACTGCACTTGTGTTTTGAGCTCCCTGAGATGGGAGAGCGTCATATTCATCTTGGTACCCTTGGGTTTAAAACAGAGCTTCACCTATAATGGTAGGAATTTAATTTACTGAGTGTTCATATTACCAAAAACAAACGTGTGAAAGTGGTAACATTTTCCTTATTTATGCAGCATCCCTTGCATTTGTTTCCAGTAACAAATTTCAAGCATAACTTTAAAAGAGATGTGAAAAACACAAGGGGCATGCGCACATGCACGCACACTGACAGATGCTTTAAATCATCCTATCAGAGAAGAGTGTTGAACTCTAAGAATGAAACAACAGAAAGATCAGCCAAGAAATGGAAATATTCTAATAATGAAGAACTACATGTTATAACAGTACTTAGTACAACACGATGCTATCATTCTGAGTTTGTATTTCGTCTATCATTATTAGGAGTCATATATCATTCCTTATAATGCCCTTCTTCCCTTCTCCACTTTAAGAACTAAATAAAATTCAGTTCAGATAAAATCTTTCCTGAGAAAATTTCCAATGACTTCTTCAGATAGAGATAACCTGTCTGACATTTGCATCCCTAGTAAACTTTGTAGGCAGCATCTATTTCAGTGAACTGTCTCTATTTATTCACATGGTCATCTTTTTTTTTTTTTTTTAATTTTAACATTTATTTATGTTTGAAAGAGAGAGAGAAACAGAGCACAAGTGGGGAAGGGGCAGAGAGAGAATGAGACACAGAATCCAAAGCAGGCTCCAGGCTCTGAGCTGTCAGCACAGAGGACGCAGGGCTCAAACTCATGAACTGTGAGATCATGACCTGGGCCGAAGTCGGATGCTTAACCGACTGAGCCACCCTGGCGCCCCAAGTGGCCATCATTTTCAATGCTCTGGGCACTCCCAAGAGGACGAGGGCCTTGTGGGACTTACATGATGCTTTCTGGGCCTTGAAAGAATGCCTGGCACATACAATCCCTCAAATTCTCCTTACTGAAATAACAATATCAACATGATCCTGTCTCTTCAAGGCTCTTGCATTTGGCTATTCTCTTACCCTCAGTACAACTCACCTTGAAATACTGGCAACCAACTTACAATTTATTTCCGCCCTAACATTTTCCACCATTCCAGGTGACATAGATGTCCATGTTACAACCTAGCCATTATTATATCCTCACTTCTTCATTTCCTCTTTATGACCTAAACTATTCTATCTCAGCACCCATTAATTCAAATACTCCACACTAAGACCACAATGTCTATTAACTTCCTTTTTCAAGTCTAACCACTACAACCATTTTTTACTTCATTGTAACCACCAGTTCACTGACCCCTATACTTTCTCTCATATGATTAGTCCTCTTCTTTTAAACTTTCCTTTTATTCAAGTCATATGCATCATCAACACTTGTGAATACCTGAAACTCCCCTATCCCTCCTTTTAGCAATCCCTCTAGTTAATCCTGGATGAAAACAATATCCTGAGTTCTTTATCACAGCACCCCAATAGCTGGGAAATACATTCTATCTACTTTAAATTCATCACAACTAAACTGAAATGGGCCCAATACTCTTAACTCCTATCCTACGTTTTTGATTAATTCCTTCCACAATGACTATTTTAAACCTTTGCTCTCTAAACAAGAGACCTTCCTCTTCCTCTCTCTTTTCCAATTTCCTAGAGAAGACGAACATCAGATGGGATCCATCATCTTTCTACCACCTATCACCATGAATGCAAATTATCCTCTATTCATAAAGTTACAATGTAAGAAATTCCCCTACACAGCATCTGATGGTAATGTTCTAGTTGTGTTTTGGATCTCATCTTTTCTGCCTTCTTAGAACCTTTACTATAGACTGTCCCTTTACTCTAACTCTGTCAATCTCTTACATGGATGTTTCCATTAATTGTTTTGTTTCTATTAATTTTTATTCAAGCTTGACTCATTTTCACTAGAGACAAGACAGACAAAACATCCTCACTATGAAGATCACTAGGAGTACCTTCTCTCTACAAATGCCTCAGAGCCAAGCTTTCAGACAGGTTCAAACTCCCGATCTCCACTTCTGAATATCACATAATTTCAGTTGGATTTCCATCCCCATTATTCCACTAAGAGCTGTCACAAAAGACACCGATGATTTTTAAAAGTCCCTCAAATCCAACGGAAATGTTTCAGGCTTCATTTCACTTGAAGTCTCAGAAGCATTTGACACTGTTGACCACTTTCTCCTTCTTGGAACACTTTCCCCTTGCTTTCCATAACAGAATACTCTCCAGGGTTTCCTCCATCATCTCTAGCCACTCCACCTTGGTCTTCTTTGAAGGCTCATCCACTTTAAACCAGTCATAAGTTCAAAGGACAATCCTAAACCAATTCTTCTTTTCACAATATACTTGTTAGCCCTAAGTGATCTTACCTATGTATATTGTAATTTGCCAACTAAACAACGGTGACTCAGTAATTTCTGCCTTCGGCTCAGATTTCTTTTAGCTCCAGACCTAAGTGTTCAACTCTCTACTTGACAGTTCCTTTTAAGCATGCTTAAACTCATCTACAACTTACATTTAAACTCATGTTCTTCACCCCCAAATGGATTCTTTTTGTTGTTTCATATTTCATGGAAAAGAACAATCCTTTTGTTCAGTTATAAACCCCGGGCTCGTTATAAGTAGTTCTCTTTTCTAAATCCCTCACAATGAATCTGTTACCAAGTTGTGTTAATTTTATCTCCTAATTATATCTCAAACTGTACTGCTTTTTCCCCTATCTTGACCTCCTACCTCTCCTGGCTGAGTTACTGCTAACTGGTTTCTCTACATCCATTCTTGCCCCTCTCCAATCAGTTATCCACAACTTAGAATACATTTTTTAACACAGAGATCTGATGACAGACCTTTACTTTATTGTCTTCGGTGGTTTCCAATTTATCTTAGGATGGCATACGGGCTTTCTTTTATTCCTTGGTCCTCACCATGCTCCCACCTATTACCAAACCTTTACACTTGCTGTTTCCTCTGGTAGGCATGCTCTTTCTTATCCTTCTGATTTTGGCTCAACTGTCATTTCTCAGTAAAATCTTTTCTGGCTTTCTTAAGTGGGTCAAAATACGCCTATATAAACACTTAAAGAGTGCTACTAGAACTTATCATGACCATTATTTTAAGTTTAATATTTTACTTGTAATCCGATTACAATCTAATGTGTCTTCTTCCCAGTAGGTTATAAATTCCATAAGGATCAAGTGTCTGGTTTTAGTCAATATTATGTCTTAACACCTAACATAGTGATGGTATAGTGTAAGTTTTCAATAAACATGTGTGAAATAAATGACCAGAAAGTCTACAATACTCACTTGTTCATTCACTGTTTCAGATGTATAGTATATTAACAAAGTGCAGAGTAATCAGGTTTTTTTCCCACTAGATATGCTAACCTCTTTGGAATTTATTTTGAAGTTAGATTGAGAAAAAAAAAATTTACTTGTACAAATAAAAAGCCATTTAGACCAGGTTTAAGTGAGAAAAGCTTACATTTCATACACAGCAAAGTGGGAGTTTAGGATACATTTTTTTGAAAGTCCTTTATAAATCGATAGTGAGTGACAAATTATGCATTAAAATATATTAACAACTGTTTCTAATTGCTGCACCCTGAAGTTGCATGAAGTGATTATATGCTCTTTTGCTATCTGCTGTGAGCCAGATGTAACTAAGAAACTACAGTAAGCAGAGTTGGTCCTCAGTTATGTTCCGATCATGGGAAAGCTAGATTCCAATTTTAAAACTCCAATTTAAGAAGTACTATGTTTGTCATTACTGCATTAGGGAATTCTAAATGAAAAGGGAATGCTTTACGTATGTAGCTTCATGTCAAAACCAAAAAATGCTTCTCTAACGTATTGACTTTTCCAGGATTTCTGTGCAAGCTATAAAAAAAATGTCATTACTATATTAGAAAACTAAGTACATTCATTTTATGTAACAATGGAATTATAATTTTATTTTTCTCACAAATGCTTGCCTCAAGCGCTTCACTTTCTTCAAGCACTTAACTTTATTTTTGCAAAAGTGACAAACAGGTACCATGAGCCTCTTTTTTACAAATGCAAAATTCATTTGCACCTAGGAATTATGAAGTTGGTTGACAGAAAACCCACAAGTCAACAAATAGTCCTAAAACATTCAATACTGTCAGAAGGCCAATGCACTACTTAAGGGCAATGTTCTTGGGTTTCCCAACCCAAAGCAAACAGAACTATCACTGTTAGAAATGTGAAATAAGTATGATACTGTCTGGGAGGGAAGGGAGGGAAGGAAGGAAAGAGAAGTAAAGACAGCAAGGAGAAAACAGAGGCATAATAATGGAAATGAAATGTGTTGACAAAGAAGAAATAAAAAGGAGAAAAAGTAAAAGGAAAGAGCTTGAAGAAAGAAACTGAAGGACAAATCTGTAGGTCATGACCAGCAAGACTGCCAAATCCAAGCTGAGGGCTTCCAAGCAGCAAAAGAATGTATTTAATTTGTTAGAGCAGAAGAAAAGGACACACACACACACACACACACACACACACCTGATGCATAAGCTCAAAGTGAGGTGTCAATGAGAACTTAGGCATATGGATGCTCTCAGTTTACCTGGTAAAATCTTAACACATTAACGTAACTTGGGTCAACTCTTGGGTAGACAGTACAAAAATAAGATCATAACTAAATTAAGTGGAAAGCTAAAAGAC